TCTTTAGTTTCTTCATTTTCTATGATTTTCTCTATTTTATGGTCCCACCAGTTCTTGCTTTCAGGCAAATGATATATCTTGTAGATCTTCCAATTAGCCATTATTGCTACTTTGTCATGCTGCTGCTTGTAGTCAGTCTGTGCAAACTTCTTGCAGCAGCTTACCAGGTGGTACACTGTTTCTTCAGTTTCTTTACAGGTGGCATTTACTGTCTGTTGCTGTCTTCTCAATTGTCTTTGTATGCATTTGTCCTTAAGATTTGGTCTTGTGCAGCCAGAATTACTCTCTCGGTCCCTTTCTTCAACTTTCCTGCTCTTAGCCATTGCCAGGTCTTGTTGTTATCTGCTTTCCATGCTATTTTTTTTAATGTACTGGCCATGTAGTGCTTTGTCTTCCTATGCCTCCATTCTGTTTTTCATTTGGTCTTTCTTGTAGGCCAGTTTGGTCTCTCCAGTAGACAGTAAGCCTTCCTGGTGTACTAACTCCAGTGCATCTTCTTCATTGTCTTTCAGATATTCTTCCAAAACTATTTCTTCTTCCTCAACCATCTGATATATTTACAACATTCCACACCCACCGATTTGCCTTGGTAGATAGAGTCTGTCAATGTCACTACGAGGATGAAGGGCATGATTCATTGTCATTATTTTTCTGATCTTCCTATCTGTTGTGTCCTGAGCCTGCTAGAGCAGAAAGCAGGCTCAGAATTGTTGCAAACGGTCCCAGGCAAACCAAAAGCTGCCTGAGACCAGACAGGGTGGTGCCAGCCTTGTGCGCATGGTCGCGAAAATGGTCAGTTCCTATTGGGTCACACTGTCTGGGTCTCAGGCCCTATAAAAGGCCTGCGTGCTTTTTGCTGTTTGCTTGGTTATAGGAGAAGAGTAATAAAGAGCTTGTTGTTTCACCATGTGCCTTCGTCAATTGTCAACGAACGGAAAACACAACACTGGCGACAAAGGTGGGATCCCTGCAAGCAAGAAAAACAAATAGGACTCACCAAGGAAGTCCTAAAGACTGGGAAGACGGCGTCCTGCATTCGCGACTCAGCCTGTCAGTACAGCATCACTGGAGGTGAGCTCGGCAAAGGGACCCTTCCCCCAACTACTAGCTTGCAGAGGAGGCAATTAGCGAAGGCCGTAAAAGTTTACTATATCGAAAATTGGCCGCTTGACTGACTTTGATGTCTCCCACCCAGAGAGATGGGATTCCCATGTTCAAAAAGGGGAAAAAATGGATCCAGGAAACTACAGACCAATCAATACCTGAGAAGATCCTGGAAAAGATAATCAAGCAATAGTTCTGATAAGTTATAAGTTATAAGTAGAAGCCACCATGGCTTTGTCAAAATCAGATCATGCCAAACAAATCTTATTTCATTCTTTGACAAAGTGACAAAACTAGTGGACCAGCGAAATTCTGGGAATATAATTTATTTGGACTTCATAAGGCCTTTGACAAAATAGACCACAACCTACTACATGATAAGATAGAAAAATGTGGGTTAGACAGCATCACCACCAGATGCATTTGTAACTGGCTGACAAACTGCACTCAATATGTAGTTCTTAATGGAACTACATTTACATGGAGGGAAGTAAGTAATTCCATTTTAAGCCCAATATTCTTAAACATTTTCATAAAATATTTAGATGAAAAATACAAAGGGAACTCATCAAATTTGCAGATGATGCTAAACTGACAGGAATAGTTAACACCCCAAAAGAGAGGTCAAGATTGAGATGGATCTCAACAGACTTATACATTGGGCCCTATGTAATAAAATGAAATTCAATATAGAGAAAAGTAAGGTTTTACACTTAGGCAAGAAAAAACAAATGTACAGGTATAGAATATGTGGAACCTGGCTCAAGAGCAGTGACTGTGAGCAGGGATTTGAAGTTCTAATGGACAATCACTTAAATATGAGCCAGCAATGTGCAGCGGCAGCCAAAGAAGCAAATGCAATCCTTGGCAGCATTAACCGAGGGATAGAATCAAGATTACATGAAGTGTTAGTACCACTTTATAATGTCTTGGTAAGACCACACTTAGAATACTGTGATAAGAGCTGGACACCCCCTCCTCACCCCAGTGAGGAAATAATCAGACAAACTCACCTGACCCAGCAGCTGCCCCAGGCTAGATGGCAAACACTTAACACACACTGAATAGATAGCAAACACTTAACATACACTGAAAGGAGAACTGGCTAGCAGCAATTAAGATTAACAAACACACAACAATAAAGCCATTAACANTAAGAAGGAAATCTGCCCAACAAAAGTCAATAACCAACAAATCAGGAAAGGCAGATTCAAACTCACCAATCAGAAATGACAAGTTTGGAAACCACAAAAGGGTATAAAAACCCCTGTTTTGAGACCATTCTGTCTAGCTAGCCGGGGATTCTTGCTGAATTGTCACTCAACTTGATCCTCGTGAATAAACCTCTCTTTCTGGTAGCTGGCTTCACGATCTATTTTTCTTTGGCGCTACGCTGACAGGAGAAACCCGGCTGGAAGAGCCGAACGGGGGATTCCTCCCAACAACTGCATCCAGTTTGGGTCACCACGATATAAAAAAAGAGACTCTGGAAAAGTGCAGAGAAAATTGAATCTCAAATGAAGATGATTTAAATGGCTAGAGGCTAAAATACATGAAGAACGGTTGCAGGAATTTGGTATGTCTAGTAGTCTAGTGAATAGAAGGACTAGGGGTAACATAGCAGTGTTCCAATATTTGAGGGGCTGCCAGAAAGAAGAGGGGATCAACCTATTTTCCAAAGCACTAAAAGGCAACACAAGAAGCAATGGATGGAAATTAATCAAAGAGAAAAAACTAGAACTAAGGAGAAATTTCCTGACAGTGAGAACAATTAACCAGTGGAACAGGATCCCCTCAAAGGTTGTGGGTGCTCCATCGTTGGGGTTTTTAAAGAAGAGACTGTACCACTGGTACATTAACAAGTGGCAGGTGGTACGCAGCCCTGCCTAGCCAAGTGTAGTGGGGGAGGGAAAGAGCCAGCGCAGGCAAGGACTTATTGTGAGAGAGTCCTCTGCAGTAGCAGAGTTGCTGGGGCAAGGCAAAGGCCCCAGGCTCACTTCTTGCTCACCCTCCCCCATGAGAGAGGAGGAGGAGGAGGGGGACGGAGACAGGAGAGGCTATAAAGGAGGCAGTTTGGGTGGGAGAGGGAGAGAAAAAAAGGCAGCAGCCTTGGGAGGAGGCAGAGTCAGCTCTAGCTGCACTGAAGGGAAAGAAAAAGGAGGAGGGTGGGGGGAGAGGAGAGGAGATCAAGCAGGCTGGCCATGAGCTTATCTACAACTGCTGTGGCAGCCACTTGTGCTGGCAGCAGCAAACAGGCAAGAAATGCAGTGGGGGAGGGATCACCCTCCAAGAGGAGTGAAAAAAGGCAGCAATGGCTGGAGGTGAGGCAGGGAGATGGAGAGTGGAAGGATTCTTATGTGCTTTTGTGACTTTGAAGTCCTGGGATTTGTGCAATGTGGGCTTTCTGTTCTTAAGGAGTGTTTGGCAATTTCTATTTGGCTGATGGCTCCTGTTAGTTTCTATTGCTCTGCTATTGTTAGCTGTAAGTTTTGCTGCAAGGGATTTTGAAGTATTTTTCTCCTGAATGGATTTTGCCTGTAGCATTCCTTTACTTAAGAATAGAGCCATTTGGCAAGGCTGCCTTAGCGGCAGCCAGTACTTACTACATTTTTTTCTTCCTTAAGTGCCAGCTGCTTAAGTTTCTTTTCTAGCCAGTAGCTAATTCTTAAAGGGGAATGTGCCTTTTTAAGCAAGTTCACTCAGCAGCTTGTCTTTTCTGTCTTTGGAGGCTTTTCCTTGTTTGATGAATATATGGAAGAGAGAAAATATGGGGGGCTGGTTGGTTTCAAAGTCTTCCTTCAGAAGGAGATGGGAATGAGAAAGAGGGAGGGAGGGAAGTCCCGCCTTAACACTTGGCCACCAGCAACCCTGCCATTGACTTTGCTTGTCAAAAGGTTGCAAAAGGGGATCACATGAGCCTGGAACACTGTGACCGTCATAAATATGAATCAGTTGCCAAAAATCCAAATATAAATCACATGACCCTGGGCATGCTGCAATGGTCATAAGTGTGAAAAATGGTCATAAATCATTTCAGTGCAATTGCAACTTTCAACAGGTTTTTTGTTTTTTTTTGGTCATCACGTTTTTGACACCTTGCTAGGCGGTACTCGAATATTGCCATATCCTAAAAGTGGTACAATTGGTGAAAAGGTTGAAAAGCCCTGGACTAGAAGACCTCCAAGGTCCTTCCAACTCTGTTATTGTGTTAACTTTTTGTCACAGCTGAGCATATAAATTTAGGAAAAATATCATATTAAGAGTTGTGATTTCTTATTTAAGATATGAATATTATTTGTCCCTGACTATGTAATACTTATTATTACAGGTGGTTCTTGACTTATGACCACAGTTTTGCATAAAATTTCTGTTGCTAAATTGGTTGTTAAGTTGTTAAGTGAGTTGTACTCTATTTTACAACCTTTCTTGCCAGAGTTGTTATGTGAATCACTGCAGTTGTTAAGTTAGTAACATGGTTGTTAAGTGAATCTGACTTTCTCTTTGACTTTGATTGTCAGAAGGTCACAAAAAGGTGATCACGTGACACTGCAACCATTATAACTATGTTATCATGGTTAGTTATCATGCATCTGAATTTTGATCATGTGACCATGCATCAGTTATCATGCATCTGAATTTTGATCATGTGACCATGGGGATGCTGCAATGGTCATAAGTGTGAAAAATGATCAAAAGTCACTTTTTTCCATGTTGTTGTAACTTCAAACACTCACTAAATGAACTGTTGTAATTCAAGGACTGCCTGTATAAGTTCCTAGTATATTATACTAAAATATAATAGTATTTGTATCCTGCATTTCCTTAGTAACTAGGGATTTTAGGCATTTTAGGAATAAGAAATGATTTCATTCTTTTTTTCTTTTCTTTCTGCATAGAACTGGATGATCATACACCACTTTGCAACTGTACCTCCACTACCCTCTGTTCCATATTTTCCCAAGGAATATATTATTTATACCCCTTCAATATTGAGTACCACATTTTAGCATCCACAATGCTGTACGTGGTCTGGAAAAACATTGGGCGTAAAGTTGAATATCTACAGCCACATAAGATGCCATTCAAGTTTCAGGGCAAAGCAATAGGCAACATCTTAGGTCTAGTAGTATTTATTACAACAATAGCAGTTGTAGTTGTTTATCTTATTCAGATTGGGCGTTCAAAATTAAAGAGTGAACTAGCACTTACTATGTTTTACTTGTATGCCATCACAGTACTGGCACTCATGTGTGCAGCTGGTATTGTGGCGATTCTAATCTATAGACTTGAAGACAAATCACTGGATGTTTCTAAAAATCCAGCTAGAAAACTTGATGCAGACCTCTTGGTGGGGACCGCCTCAGGCTCCTGGCTTCTTTCTTGGGGTTCTATTCTTGCAATTATCTCTGCTCAGTCCCATCCTGCATATACATGGTTCAATTTGCCCTACTCTGTGCTTGTTATAATTGAGAAATACATTCAGAACCTCTTCATAATTGAATCTATACATCGTGAGCATGACAAGAGTAATGATGACATTAAAACTCTGCGAATATTAACAGTGTCCAGTGGAAGCAATCTTTCCCCTACAGCTTCCTACAAAGAAATCTATAATGGAACAAATGGAGAGTTGTCATCCATATATTATGGAAATAGTTATCCATCTGAGAACAGTTCCAGTTGTGCTTTCCATGAAAACATCGATCAGAGCAAGATTCCAGTCCCTCCATCCTCTCCAGATTTCTCACTCACTCTGAGAAACTTCTCTGTCAACAGCAAAAGAAGTATCTTGAAGAATATTGCTGTATTTTTGTTCTTGTGTAATCTCTCAGTAAGTATTTAAAATAATGCAATTTATTCTATAGTGGGACAATTTCCCTCAGTGTGTTTTGTCTTTAACATTAACTTGGTCTGCAGAAATCAGAAGATGAAATTCTTCCTACTCATGTAACTTGTCAAGTAGCTGAATGAATACAACCACCGGAGGCCAGATGAACTGTTGGACATCTTGCCTTTTCTCTTCCAAAGAGTAAGCAAAGATTGAACTTGCTTGCTCTTCAACCAACAAAGATAGCCAAATTAGCGTAATAAAAAACCCCTCAATTTCTGGTCACAAACTAGCAACCAAGCATCATTCTCAAAAGGGAGAGGAATTGAGAAGGAAGAGGGTGGTCTGTTCTAGAAATTACAAAATGCAAACAGATCTGCTGGGCAAAGCATATTATTATATGCTTCTCCCCCCCCCCAAAGGAAGATTTTATCTCCTTTATTATCATCTACAGCAGGGGTGTCAAACTCGCAATGTCACGTGACGTGTCACGATGTATTGCGACTTTTTCTCCATTGCCGGCAATGGGGTGGGCGTGGTTTTGGCATGATGCATCTGGCCCATAGGCCGGCAGTTTGACACCCCTGATCTATAGGCACTAGGGGCTACTCAACCATATTAGCCAGCTGGCAGATATGTTTTAAACTAGTCCCCTTACTTCTCATAGCTATTTTTAAAATTATTTATTTTATCCAATTAATATTAAGTTCTATTGTTTTTTTCAATCTATAATTTTAAACCTAAGAAAGGGGTTTTGAAACCAGGACAAAGATTACATGATAATGTGAACAAATAATACAAAATAAAATTTGAAATTCTGCAACTGAATTTTTAGTTAAATTATATGAATCAAGCTGAAAAATACTGTTCCCAGCATAATCTCACAGAAACAGTGTCATCTAGATTTTTTTAAAAAAAATGTTCTTTTTTTATAGCTTTGGATTCCACAAGCTTTTGGTTGCCGCCCTGAATATGACAATGGCCTGGAAGAAATGGTTTTTGGATTTGAACCTTGGATCATTATGGTGAATCTTGCAATGCCCTTTTCCATTTTCTACCGGATGCATTCAGCTGCCTCCCTCTTTGAGGTTAGCTGCAAAATGTAAATTGTATAATTTCATCAAGAAGGAAGTATGAAAGGCTGGGAAGATAAATATACTTGATAGATCTTGAAGATCCAAGATCATTTAAATGAATCCATCTGACATCTCTTCACTCCTTTGTGGGGAAATTTAAGCAAACAATATATCTGTAAAAGCATTGAGCCAATACACAGCTGCAGGGTTGCAGATTTTAAGAAAAAGAGCTGATTTGGCACTTAAATGGACATGGATGTTTTACCTCCCACCCCCACTCTGTACTTCCAATATGTGGTGCAGAAATCAAGGAAAAGAGCAGGATCTTGTAAGCTGCTGCTGCTGCCAGGTGCCAGGTGAGCATCTCTGCTTTCTTTAATTATCTGTTCCCTTCTGATCCAGAGCAGGTATGTCTCTGCAATGCCGAGCTCAAAGAGGATGTTTGAGACTGCAGACTATGTCAATGACAACATTACAGAATCAAATGAAATGAAAAAGCAGTATCCCCACCAAAGTACTGTACACCTATATTAATACTACTACTAATAATAATTACAATAAATATTCAATAGTGTCATTGATTTTTCATCCGTAAAGGTGAGGGAGGTCAGAATTATAAAATTTAAGCCTCTGCTTGTAAAAGGAGAGAAATAACCAAATACAGGTAGTTGTAATTGTGGAAAATGGTCATAAGTCACTTTTTTCAGTGCTGTTGTAACTTTGAATGGTTACTAAATGAATATAAGTTGAGGACTATTTGTATAGTAGTGAAACCTTTTGAACATATTGATAATCAGGATGTACTGAGTAGATGTAATTTTTTTTTCAAAAGAACACTTTTCTTCTGAAAAAATAATATGAAACAGTAAACTATTTCATTAGAGAGGTGTCTAGACATAATAATTACATAATTTTGAAAGTCATATGTTTATTTATATTTGTTTATGACATTCCTAATAGAGTGGCAATTTGAGTTTTAACTTTCATTAGCTGCATACTACTACTACTACTACTACTACTAATAATAATAATAATAATAATTATTATTATTATTATTATTATTATTATTATTATTATTATTAAACAAAAATGGCAAACCCAGTTTGAACATCTGTCTGACTTCGATGAATAATAATAATAATAATAATAATAATAATAATAATAATAATTATTATTATTATTATTATTCATCGAAGTCAGACAGATGTTCAAACTGGGTTTGCCATTTTTGTCTACCTATTGAGTTCTTACCAAGGTCTTGGGATAGGCAGAGCTGGATGTTTGATGGTATTATAGATATTGTCGCAGGATGGAAGCTGTTCCCAGTACAGCCGCCTTTTGCAATTGACTGATGGCAAATTTGTCAATGCCAATGGTGTTCGAGTGGTGCTCCGGTTGTTTTGGTAGTTGAGGGCAACCGAACTAGCCTCATCGGACTCGATTGGTTTGATGCCTTGGGAATTCAAGTGACTGGGTTAAATAGCTTGCAAATGTCGAGCCTCTTGGCAGTTTGTAAAGAGTTTGCTGATGTTTTCAGCTCAGAGTTAGGGGAATACAAAGGCCCCCCAATTGCCCTATGGCTTGATCCTACAATAGCCCCAATAAGGATAAAGCCTCATCGGGTGCCTTTTGCCCTGAAGCAGAGAATTAATGCAGAGCTAGACAGGCTATTGCAACAAGGATTTTAGAGCCGGTGGATATCAGTTCATGGGAAACTCCCATAGTCACGCCACTTAAGGCCAACAGGGAAATCTGCATTTGTGCCGACTATAAATGCACGCTAAACAAAGCCCTCCAGCAGCACTCCTATCTGGTGCCTGTAGTCAGCCACATTTTGGCATCTCTACAGGGAGGTCGCATTTTCGCCAAATTAGATTTGGCTCAGGCCTATCAGCAGCTGCCGGTGGACGACGCCACGGCTAAAGCCCAGAGTATAGTAACCCACAGGAGAGTTTTCAAGGTACGGTGGTTACAGTTCAGGGTTAGTGTAGCCCTGGGCATCTTTCAGAGCATAATGGAGTGCACGCTCTGCAACATTCTGGGTGTGTGCCCGTATTTCGCTGATGACCTCATAGCCGGGGAATCAGTCAAAAGCCTCACTGACCAGCTTAGGGCAGTCTTGCAGCGTTTCTGCGAAGTGGGTCTGAAGCTCAAGCAGGAAAAATGTAAGATTGGGGTTACTTCTACAGAGTTCCTGGGGTTTCGCATAGATGCTGAAGGCATTCATCCTGCTGAATCCAAGCTCAAAGCAATTCAGCAGGCACCTAGTCCCAAGACAAAAGGAGAACTTCAGGCCTTTCTGGGATTCCTTAATTTCTATCACGCATTCCTCCCCCACAAGACTGCAGTGGCAGAGCCGTTATACTGGGTCTTGGACAAGAAGGCTCCATGGAAGTGGACAAGTGTCCACGAGAGAAGTTTTGCAGCAGTTAAAGCATTGTTGTCATAAAATGCAGTGTTGGCCCATTTCAATGAGCAGTTGCCAATCAGCATTGCATATGATGCATCCCCATACAGGATTGAAGCTGTGTTAAGCCATCTTAGTGCTGATGGGACACAAGTTCCTATAGCCTATTATTCTAGGACTCTCTCTTCAGCAAAACGCAATTATGCACAAATCGATAGGGAGGCATTGGCCATTGTGGCAGGCATAAAAAAGTTTCATGACACTTCCGGTTCCGGATCGCGGTGCCTCTAGTCGTACGAAGAGACTCGTCTCCTCGTCAGCTAGCTTCCCTCCACTGGTAGACCCTTATGCGGGTCGAAAGTCGCCCTGGAGAGTGCGACTTCTGTCAAAGAGGCTTTGCTCAGCTGCGGAGGAGCGGCGGCTCCTCCAGCTGTCTGGGCCAACTCTGAGGGCCGACGGAGAAGAAGATCGGCCAGTAAAATGGCTGATCACCTAGCCTCTCCAAACTGCAAGTCAAAGAACATCTAAGCTTGAAAAGCCACCGTGGTGAATCCGGGTGAGACTTATTTTTTTGCTCCCCTCTTCATTCTATTTTGCTTTTTTTTTTTTTTGCCTGTAAGAGCCCTGTTGGAATTATTTCCCTGGCTTGGAAAAGCAGCTTCTACATGTTTGGGAAGAAAGGTGTTGAACAAAAGAATAGAACAAAATCTTAAAGACTATATTTTATTTTTATATGTTTTGGGATACTGAAAAAATTATTTCCTAAGAGCTGTACCCTAAGAGTTTATGTTGTTGTGGGTTTTTTTGAGCGGCATTATCATCTTATATTGGAAGAGTATTTCTTTCTCCACTTTTTCCTTAAAAAATAGAAAAAAGGAAAAAATGGCTCTTGAAAAAGATTTTTTAGCTTACTGAGGACATCTATTGGTCAAAAGTTAATATTGTAATTTTTGATTATTTGGAGATGAGATGGTTTTGGCCTTCAAATTGTTTTTTAAGAGAAAGATAACTTGATGCAGCTGTGGGATTTCTGGGGTTGGATATTCTTCAACTGCTGTTAGCTACAGCCTCCACCAAAAGGGAAAAAAAGGATTTCTCTTCAACTATTTATAAAATGGAGCCTCACTCACATTTAAATTGTAAACTTATACTGGAAAAGATCTATGAGGCTAAAGAAGAAATATGTGGTACAATGAAAGAGTTCACTACAGAATTAAGAGTCAGAATCTCTCCCTTAAACTTCAAAATTGACTCTCAGACTACACCTGACTATTCTATAAAACAGATTAAAGCAATGAGGCTTTATCTTTAAGAGGAACAGAAGACCAATGCAGAGGCCAAGATGGTTTTCACTGATTCAAATGATATTACAAGCAACAAAGAGAGACTTATCAGCTGGAAGGGAAGCTTTGCTATGAAAATCTGCCTGGCATAAGAAGAAGGCCAGAATAAGACTGAAAAGAAGTGACATTTAAAATTTTATGTAATGGATTAAAGGCAATCTAGAATTATGGATTGATTTAAGGACTAAGATTATGAGCTAGAAGTAAGAGAAATGGGCGACTAATGGAAGACATATATTAAATTGACTAAGAATGTATTTTTTGGATTGATAGGTTTATCTATATGAAAATTAGTATATAATAGAAGGAAGAAAATTGAAGAGATGTTTTAGATCTGGATTGAATTAATAACTAAATGAATGTTAATCTAATAAGATGATTTGTTTGTTTGATGCCCAATGGATTGAAATGATTTAAGGTTTGATATTATCTTGTCAGTTTAAAAAGATTGATTGATTGATGGATTAGATATGTATAAGATAGATCAATATTTTAACTTAAAAAGGAGATATTTTTATGTAATGGATTAAAGGTAATCTAGAATTATGGATTGATTTAAGGACTAAGATTGTGAGCTAGAAGTAAGAGAAAAATGGGTGATTAATGGAATATACATATTAAATTGATTAAGAATGTGTCTTTTAGAATGATAGGTTTATTTGTATGAAAATTATTATGTAATGTTGAGTTAATTTAATAAGATGATTTGTTTGTTTGATAACATGGACGTTATTAGTTATGATAATTAATTGGATGAAATTTGAATTCTGTTTAATGGATTGAAATGATTTAAGGTTTGATTTTACTCTGTCAGCTTAAAGAGATTGATTGATGGATGGATTAGATATGTATAGGATAGATTAATATTTTATTTTAAATAAGGGATATTAGTGGAAGAAAAAATAAATAAAATTTATGATAAAATTAAGGAACTAGAACATATTTGGAAGGGATACCTGAATTGATAATGTTTTTATTTAAAGTTAATTTGATTACGGTATTGTAAATTTATAAAGCTTTAAAAACAGGTCCAGGTTGAATAAATTTAAGCTAGAATTAGATTATCTTAAATAAATTATGCTATTTAAGGGAAAAGAGAGGGAATACTTGATGTATTGATTGAATTACGTATATATGTTTTGTTTTTGGGTGTTTGATTACCCTAGCACCACGGTGTGTCTTGAGCACTTTGTCTTAAGAATAAAAAAAACAATAAAATTTGTTTTAAAAAAAAGTTTCATGACTTTTTGTATGGCCCCCATTTCACGGTCTTCACTGAC